CTGACAATTTAAACAAATATGGCTGAATTAAGCGAACGCCAAAGAATCCAAATATTAATAATGTATGGGTACGGTGTAGGTGCACTGTCCAATAATATTTACCCGGATACAAAAATTACACAATCCAAAGCATCCGAAATATTAGAAAAAAGTTTTTTACACCGGGAGTGTTAAAAATCTTCCAAAAAGTTGATGGCCGAAGACAGTTACCAATGACTATACATTATTAATTATTCATAATTGTTGAAACTGTAATTTTTTTGACATTTAAAGCTGTCAACGGCGTTATTTCAGCTTGTACTTTGATTGTAATTAACTGATTTAAGACTTTCAAAAAATACATTTTTTCTCGATTTTTTTCTTACACAACCATATGATTTGATGTGTTAATCACATAGAGGGATTTATTCTCTATCAAAGTATGCAAAAAAATATATGCATCCCATTTAAAATAACAATGTTGGTTGCCATAGCAACGAAACAAAGAACAATACAAACAAGCAAATATCGCCAAAAAATGCGCCATGATTAATAAAGCAACTTGTATTTGGAACATTTTTCTTTAAAACCACAAATGGCGAAGTGTTTGGCTATATTCCATACATTTGACACATCCTATATTTATACAGGGTGTTTCATTTAAAATGACATATGCTTATATCTCGAAAACCAAAACTTGAATCGAAAAAAGTTTCAAGTAAACTTTTTTGGTGAAAAGGGGTGAAAAAGGTATACATGAGCAGATTTTTTTTCAGGGTTGCCTAAAGGCCCTTCTGACGTCATTTTCATTTTTTCAAATCGCAGATATACTTTTTTCTTTCAACGTCTTGAACAACTTGACAAACTAAGTACTTTTTGCTTAAAAAATTTTTTTCTTAAATTCTGCTTTATGAAGATATCTACAAAAAGAAAAATAAAACAACATTTTTCAAAATGTAATTAAAAAAATTTAATTAATAAAAAAACGACTTAATTAATCGTAAAATAGTACTAAAATTCTGCTTCATTTTTGAAATCACCTTAGAACATTGATTAAAATTTATAAACTTACCTTTATACATCGACTAAATGCTCAAAATGATGACCATTTACTTCTAAACATTTCTGAATTCTCATTGAAAACGTTCTCTGCACATTGCCAAGCATTTCTTCAGTTATTGATTCGCAAGCTGCTCTGATACGGTTTTTCATATCGTTTGGTGTTGTTGGAACCTGGTTGTAAACTTTCTCTTTGAGGTAACCCCAAAGAAAGAAATTGGGAGAAGTTAAGTCGGGTGATGTAGCTGGCCAATTCACCGGTCCATTACGTCCTATCCATTTTTCAGGAAACATTTCGTCTAAAACTTCTCTTGCAGCTTGAGTACAGTGAGATGGACATCCATCATGCTGATACCGTAGCGCAAGTCTTCGCTCCAGAGTAAGGTCTTCCAACAAAACCGGTAAATCGTTCAACAAAAAATTCCTATACTTTCTGCCATTCAAATTGCCATCAATAAAAAAAGGTCCAATTATTTTATTGCCAATAATATCGCACCAGACATTAACTGACCAAGGTTTTTGATGATCAACTTGTCTTAGCCAACGAGGATTTTCATGTGACCAGTAGTGCATGTTATGACGATTTACTTGGCCGTGATTGGTGAAAGAGGATTCGTCGGGAAATAGTACATTGAAGAAAAAATTTTCATTCAATCTTAATTTTTCCATAGCCCAAGTATAAAATTGCACACGATTTTCGAAATCATCACCATGTAATGGTTGGTGTAGAGAGACATGATACGGATGAAACTTATTAAGTTTCAAAATCCGATGTACAGGTGGTTCAAATTCGATGTCCGAATAGGCTAACTCGAAAACTATAAGAGTTAGAAGAAAAGCAATTGACATGTCATGATCTCGTTTTTCGAGAAACTGCTAATGCCGAAAACCTCATCTATTTGATTCTGTTCATTCGTAACAGATCTTGCACGTGTTCGTTTTTTTTCCTCCACGTTACCACATTCCAGAAATTTTGTAACTATTCGATATAAAGTTGTAGGACAAGGCGCTCTTTCTCCAGGAAATTTTCGAACAAAAATGCGAAATTTTCACGACTTTCACCGTAAACTAACACCATCTGAATTTTCTGTGGAGTAGGTAGAAGTGCTCCAGTTTTGCTTTGATCACAATGATTTTTTCGCTTGAAATTTTTATCCCACGTGCAAGTTAGCGCACATTCAAACAAGGTTTAGAACAGTATTTACTCGATTTATAAACATTAAAAAAAAAGAATTTGGAATCAATTTTCTAAGACGATTTCAAAAGTTAAGAAGAATTTTAATATTATTTTACGATTAATTAATTTTTTTTAATTACATTTTGAAACATGTCATTTTATATTTGTTTTTGTTGATATTTTCACAACGGAAAGTTTAAGAAAAAAATTTTTTAAGCAAACAGTAATCAGTTTGTCAAGTTGTTTAAGACTTTGAAAGAAAAGTATATGGAAGTAGGTGAGGAGCTCTAGGGTATGGTTTCAATGTAAAAGTGTCAGAAGTGTGAGATGAGAGAGTAATTGGTCGAAAAGCTTTAGGATTCTTTGGATCCTTCCTTCCAGTCTACAGTATTAATGTTACTGTAACCCTCCTCCAGTTGATGGAGACATAGTTAAAGGCATAGTTAAACTCTCATTAAAAACCCTCATTATGTGTCTTTTCATATTCCCTAGGCTCTATTGAAGAAGAGCAGGAAAGTTACCATCGGGTATGGGTGTTTTGAAGGACTCAAAACTGACAACGGCCCACTTTATCAACTGGTTCTGTACAACCTGGCTGGCTATCTGCCAATCATGTCTGGTAGGAGAGTTGTTTAGTTCCACTTGGTGTGAAAGTGTTGAAAAATCTTGCAGAGAACCTGGAAATTGAACATCCATTAGTAGTGCAATGATTTTTCTGGATCCTTAGCAAAACTGCCGTCGTTCACCTGGAAGCTTATAATTTAGTATAACCTAACATCAAACATTCCTTTAAAACTTTAAAAAGTTCATTTCTTAATTCCACGCTGTTTTGGAGAAAATATTTTCTTCTCTACGCTCTCATCTTTAGTAAGTTGGAAGTTGTCAATTTGGTATAACCTGATCTCAAACGTTCCTTTATAAAATTATGCGAATTATGGCTAGTATTACTCTCTATGACAGTATATCAATGAATAAAACTTCAGTACGTCAAGCGTTTTTTTACAACCATAAAATGTTTCATTACATAACTTTCGAGAAAACTTGTTTTCTTTAATACACTTAACAAACGTCAAATCGGTGTTTTTTTCTAAACTTTTGTAAAATAAATTGTTAATCATAAATACTTTAAATTGGTTATAAACCAAATTCAAAGCTTCCTTTATAACTTCAAAAAGTTTAATTTCCTAATTCCGATCCTTTCAAAATATTACTGAATTCTTTTGCCGTTATAAAGTAATTTATTTGAAAATGTGTACACAATTTGTTAGGTAATGTAACTTGGTGTACATGCGACGTTACTTTTCGCTTTTTGGCGACCTTTATCCCCTTTTCGCTCGTTAACCTGATAAGATTTTCTCAGTTTTGCTGTGTTGTTTGTTCCGCATGAACTTATTGTCACTGCAAGTGGCACAATATTTGGGTCTTTGCCAAATGTTGTATCAATTTCTTTGTAACATTGAAATGTTTTACTTTTGAACTCGTCCCTGAACTTGACATAAATATACCCAAGAATTGATCACATGGTTCAAGAAATTAATCTTCTTGCTTAATTATGCAAAAACCAAAAAACGCATAATTATATTGACGTATAAAATAGAACATTCAATATTTGTATGAGATTTATAATTACAAGACGAGGTGGAGATTTAATTAATTACAAAATGTTGTATTGAAGACATGTTACAGAATATTTCGAGTAATTGAATTCCAACTTAATTTACCAACTAGATAAATAACATTAATTTTTTAATTAATTTAGTAATCTCATTAGAACAAATCTGAATTATAAATAATAGTACTAATTTATAACATGTATTAAATAATAAGTAAAAAGAAGTTTATAAGTTATAATAGTCCTAATTATCATTAATTACACACATACTTTAATCAACTTAATACTTTAATTTTTCCATCAATCTTCATTATTGCATAAAACCCGGAAGGAAAGTATTTTAATAAAATAAATACTTCCCATTTTATGATATTAAGATATATCGGATTACGGTTTCCTTCAGCAGGAGAAAATCATAAAATTACCTTGATTTTCTTAACGGCCTACCACCTACGAAGTACGAGACGAGCTGGTACGTCGTTATCCTTTATGTCCCTTCCCCGAGGGTCTTTTTTTATGGATAATGACTTCATTTGAGGCCACGCAGCCCGCGTTATTAAGATGTCACCTCGATTTTTGTTCTGTTTCTTGCCCTTTTTTGTACGCGTCGTCATAGTCGAACGTGAAAACGATGACGGTACAGCGCTAAAAATACTCTGAATTCTGTAAGGCAGGTAATAAAAGTCGGGTTTTCTTATTTGGAAGCGATACATTTCGTGATTGTATTTCAACGACATCTGTATTGGGTTGAACTGGTTCACTTTGGAATCAGTGGCGCCGAACCATTTCCTGCGGGTAATAAAGAAATCGCAATTGTGGGGCAGAAGAAATAGTAATAAATCCATGATGATATTTGATAAGTCAATAAATATAGATTGATTGTGTGGTTTTTAAAGAAATATTTTTTAAATTGTTTACTGGGTTATCCTTGTACGCCACTGGTTTCTGCGCAACTTCTTTGTAACTCTTGTCGTAGATGGTAGAAGTCTACGTGCTTTCAAATTTATGGGAAGATGTTATCTGAAGCGACACGGCTTGCATAGAAAACGGAACATCAAGCCATTTACTTCCTGTCGTTTTCAAACATCTTAACTATTTTACATTACCCTTGATAATAATCTTACCAAGAATTTGTTCCAATTAAATTAATTCCTTTTAAATTTTTAATTTCAGTTTCACCAAAAGTAAAATGTACGCCGGACACGATGCGGGTGGAAATTCCAATCGAAAAAACAACCGGATTGGTTTACCTGCAAGGATTAAAAGATTATCCGGATCAAGCTTGTCGACCAAAAACGGATCCGAAAGATCTCTCGTTGGCGATACTAGAATTAAATTTGACGGACGTCTACAGATGTGCTATAACACGAGTCACGAACAAGATAACGGTGAGTTCATGGTGGGTCTATTCGGGTATGATGACTTAGGCACGAGTCTTTATTGCGGTTCATTTTTTAGTCGTAAATCGTAATTAACAATTAAAGGTATTAAAGGTAAAAAGAGGTTTTAATCTGTCAAATTAGAAATGTGATATTGCAAAAAAATTTGTTTTTTATAGTGAATAAAAAACTTGATGTGGTCATAAAATTTAATAATCAACAAGTATATATCCTTTCGATTTCTTTTCTTACATTTAAATTATTTTTTATCGTTAAATTTCCATTTGATTAATATAAACATGTTGGAGATTTATTATTAATCACTTTTTGAGAGATGATTATTATATCAAATAAATGCTAAAAGAGCGTAATTTAAGGATAATGAGGCTTTTGTTTAGTTACTATAAAGATGTTGAAGAAACTTGATGATTACTGTTTGGTTTGATATTTTGTAGTGATGGAACGGATAGTGTTTTTACGAAAAGCCGGATACCAGATATTCGGCATCCCCTTCGGCCGGATATCCGGTTATCCGCCATATCTATCCGGCCATTATGGTTATAACTTCTGGTATATTCCAATAAATGGATTTTATACGAATTTTTAAAACTTAATCGGCGGAAATTGCAATATTCGAAAAAATTATCGATCATTTCAAAAATTTATTTCTCAAAAACTAAAAGTGATTTTTCAAATCGGCTTGTTGCATTAAAAAGAGGATACTTTAATTAATAATTGGTGATATTTCCACAAGGATCCTTCAAGAAATGAATTTTATAGCGAATTTTGAAAATTATCGATGAAAATTACATCGCAAATTTTATAAAAACTTCAAATATTGTTTTCTCAAAAACTAAAAGGTATTTTTCAAAACGTGTTGGTTCGTTGGAAAGAGTACACTCTTATTAACACTTTGGGATATTTTCATACTCATATTCCAAGAAATGGATTTTGTACGAATTTTTAAAACTTAATCGGAGAAAACTGCAAAATTCGAAAAATTTCATTTCAAAAATTTGTTTCTCAAGAACTAAAAGTGATTTTTCAAAACGGCTTTTTGCATTAAGAAGAGGATACTTTAATTAATAACCGAAACTGATAACAGCGACAGTTCTGTTAGTAATGAATATGATGATGAATTATAAGCGAGAGAAGAAAACTAGACGAAACTGCAACAAGAGATTTTATATATCGTATTGGGTTTGTTACAATGAGGTTTCTGATGACAAACCTGATATAAATAAAGTTGTATTCAATGAAAATAGTCCTATTGAGGTTGAACATGATTATTATCTGCAGTGTCCAACACCTAAAAGCGATACTAATTCCTGTGAATGGTGGAGTGCTAAGTAATAGGGTTTTAACAGGTTGGCTGCCACCATACAACTAATTAAGTAATTCCCTAGGGGCCACTGTCAAAAATGTTCTTCCTTATGTGCCTAATAAATGGGTATGTCTGTAAAAGTTAAATTGCCAATGGTACTGAGGTATAACAGTTATCCACTACTATAAGCCTGCCTTCAGATAAATATGGCTCTGCAAGTTCTATAACTACTTTTTCAGCAAGTCCAGCAGACTGCAGTCCAATAAGTGTTTGTCCAGAATACAGTGATATGCTCAATGTATAACCAATTGGATTGCACAACTTGAACATTTTCACTCCGCTTTTGTTGGGAATGTACTGTCTGAATAATAATCGGCCACGAAAAGGAATCAATGTTTCATCAATAGCTATCATTTCTCTAGGCACATATTCGACATTGAATCGTTCCTTCATCATGTCAATTAGATTTCTAACTATGTATAACCACTACATAACTTTGTATCACTTTTATTAGCCATCGAATTATCAGCAAAATGAACGACTCTCAGCAATAGTTGAAAGCTATTTCTGCTCATTACTTTTGAAAGGATACAATTTTTGTATAAAATGCTAGTGGACCAATAATCAGCTACTTTAGGATACTTTACAAATCCCATATAAAGAAGGACAGCAAAAAACTTCCACATTTAATCTTCGTTGGTATCCACCCATTTATTGATTCTGGCTGAGCGACTTGGTCGACTGTTTTGAATAGTAGTTGCAGCACTTTTATTTGTTTCGGGAACAATAACACCCAAAACTTCTGCGTCAAAAAACTTCCGGTATATCCGCATGGCAGTTACACTTTCTTGATTTTGTGTATCAATGTCATCAATTTTGTATGCTTCTGAGCCTAAAAACTGTATATGAAGTGGTAATTTGTCCATACGTATCTTTTGCCATTCTTCTTTTTTCTCTTGAACAGCTTCCTCTTGAATTGACGTTTCAGGATCCACTTCATCCCAGATTCCGATGACTGATCATCCACCTCAAATTTCGAGTAAGATGATTAGAATAAGCTTTCGTCAGAATCATCATCACTCTCAAGTGCGGCTGCAAGTTCATGTTCTTTCAATTTCTTTATAGGACCACTGGGCCCAGGTTTGGAATCCATGATGAAATCTGTAATATTATAAATAAATTCTAATTATCACTTCAGCACTTGCTCGTTATAAATAACAGAAAGTGAAGAAAATATTCAGGAACTAACCTCAAAATTGGTTTTGACTTGAGAATCCACTGGGATCCTCGCGGCATATTAGTGAAATTTTTCTGGGGAACACCGGTGATCCTCATGGCAGCCAACGTGTTAATATTAAAATGGATTTTAAAAAATGGTCGGATAGGCCGGATACCGGATAGTTGCCGGATATCCGTTTCACCACTAATATTTAGTATACATTTAAAAATTCTAAATACTGTCCTGGCCGTATTTATGGAGATGAAGAGATGATTGTTACATCAAATTAATGCTGAAAGACTGTTATTTAAGAATATTGATGTTTTCGTTTATTAATATAAAAATATTGGAAAATCAACACAAAATCTGATGATTACTATTTGCCTTCAATTTAGTAAAAATTGAAAAATTCTATGTACTCATTATTTAATCTTTGTTACATCAAATTAATGCTAAATGAGTGTTGTTTAAGATTATTGAGGTTTCAGTGTATTCAACACAAAAATATTGGAGATAGAATAAAAAAATATATGATTAATATTGAACTTGAATTGCAGTAAAAAAGGGAAAATTACAAATATTTATTCTGGGTGTGTTTATGGGATGATTGTTGCACTAAGTTAATATTAAAAGAGTGTAATTTAACACTATTCAGGTTACCGTGGAGTTAATATAAAGATGTTAAAGAATCAGTGAAAAGTTGATGATTACTATTTGGCAATTATCAATAAAAATTGAAAAATTTTAAATATTGTCCTGACTGTATTTATTAAGGCGGAATTAAAGCACGATTGTTATATGGATAAGTCGTAAAAAATAATGTTTGAGATTAGGAGATATAGTATTCATGGGGATTAGGGTTTGATTGTTTCATTACCTTAATGACCATCGAGCGTAATTTAAAACCATTTAGATTTATTGTAACAATGCCAGTAAAAAGTTGATTAATTCTTTTTGTCCAAAAATGAATCAATACAAAACCCATTGTAACTGGAAAAATAAATAAAGTTTTCACCTTGGCCTCCTCCCGCAAAGGAGATTGAAAGTGATCTCTTTCCATATTTAGCTGTACAGAAATAGTTATTCATACAATCGTTCATATTCTTTATCTGGTGTTGAGTATGTTGAGCAAAACAAGATATTTTATAGTCTTGAAAATAAAATTCAATCCTTTCTACGATTATGGTTTTCTCGTGTTCTTTCTATCAGCACAATTTCCTCTCTTAATTTGTACGGTATTCTTCTTATGGGAATGTTATTATGCTTTACATCCATTTTAAAAGTGATATACAGCCATACGTATAACAAAGCAATGATTTTTCATTATTTGAATTTTTGTGCTCCCGATACGTCAATACTATGCTATACTTGAAATAGTACAAATTTTTACTAAATCAGTTTTTGACACTCGTGGGAATGGTTTAAAATAATTAGTTACCATAGTTACTCGTGGCTACTACTATTTTATCGCCTATATCCGCTACTTTACGAACACACTGTATATTATGTAACAACAGTCAATTAATAAGTAGTAATGTAGTAATATAATAAGTAATGTCAAATTAAATATGGACTTTTTTTGTTCTCTCCTTCTCGAGCTTTGTAAACAACAACCCTAAATCTATTTTTTTTTTTCGAGAATACGTTTTAACTAATGCAGTGCCCGAGCTTGTACCTAGTAATGATTTAATTGCAAGGATTTGGCAACTCAACCGTCCCTTCATTAGCCTACTTTGTTTTGCAGTCTTTCATTCCCAGGATCATGCCAGCTGTGTCGATCTGGACAATACTCTATAACATTTGAACACTTTCAAATAAGTAAATACAATATAATAAGTAAACAAACAAAAGGCCTTTCGTCTTTGGTACGCCAAATCTACTGGTTGAGTTGTGTTATGTTTGGTTGGTTGGGTTGAATTTATTATTTTAAATATTTTTAAGCTTAAAAACCTCAAAATCATCGTTCCAGGCTTTATAAACATGTACTTAGCAGCAGATAATCGATCTAAGGAGGCTTTTTCTTCACCACTGCCTAACATAAGCAGAAGCAATAGCTAAACCCATCTCTTCCACTTTGCAGATTATGTCCCACTTAATGTGAACTAATTAATATTAATCAAATCTTTGGCATACGCTACCAACGTAGTTAATAGCAACTGAACTGTTAACGACTTGTGTTTTGCTGTCGATTGTCTTAAAAACTACATTTTAACACAGTACCTTCCCAGTATCTCAATCTTTTAAAGTGCGTCTTAAAGAATGCTCTTGGAAACAATAGAATGTTATAGAAATGGTTTAAAGCGCAAAGTCAGTATTGGCTTAAAATAATTGTAATTTGTTTTTCTTTAATCTTAACTTTTATCTCAATTCTTAAAACTATATATTTATTGATTAGAATTCATCTCTTTCGTCTATTCATCATTTATACACAACACACTATTCAAGATCATAGGATTATCTTCCATAATCCGGAAGTCTGTATGTGTATTAGAATTTCACATATACTAGAGAATCGGTTATCGTAGTGCCAAATTGGTTTCAGAATCTGATTATAGATCAGTGATTGTTGGAGATTGAAAGATTGTACTTCCTTCTAATCAGCCAATAGCCTCTCTATCTAAGTTTGGTGTTCAAAGTCATGCCTAGATACTTTCTTTTGTTCTCATGTGGAATAATGGTGTCATATTTATATCCATTAACGATTTATGGCGGTGGGTTTTTGCAGTTTATTTGTAAAATTGATATGGACGAATTTCAGCTCGTTTAACTTCCATTTTATAGGCCTCTATTGCATTGCTGGCTGTTTGTAGTTTCTCACTGGATAACTCCTAAGCTTTCTTCACTACAAGTAGTGTTGTGTTAACTAAACGTAGCCATCACAGTCCCCTCCAAGTTTGGTATGTAACTAGTTTATAATAGACACAGAGTAGAATTTATCTCATATCCGCGTTTATCTGATTTAAGTCTAAGTATTCATCTTCTCATGTAACTTTGAAGTGTCTGCCCAAGGTCTACGGTGTTAATATTTTTACGTATTGTTTTGGGAACATTTTGTATCATTTGTGTATCAAGTCTTTGTACTAATTGTGCCAAAGTGTTGTGCGATACCTAGGAAGTCTGCTGAGCAGACTTTCTTTTCACATAAGACTCGTTTAATGGTATCAGTTATTTTATACACTTGGTAGTCTTGGCGGTCTTTTCTCAGTCTTTTGAGTAGTAGTTTCTCGACGAGTTCTTAACCTTAGGTTGGGAGTAAAGATCTCAGCGAGCTGTTTAGTATATAGTTTCAGTGAACAGTTAGTCTCTTTGATTTTCTTTGACAAGTTCTCTGATCTCAAGTGGATAATTTACACCAAGTGTATAAATAATAATGATACAAGAATGACACAAGATGATATGTATATGTTATAATGTGCAGTAAATAAAGACTTGATAAACTTAATAATCAACACTCATAGACGTAATTTCCTTAGACACTAAATAAAATTTATATATCCTCGTTTTTTATGCGCAGGGAAATCAAATTTACTATCACACGGTCGTCGTTGAGGATTCCGTATTAGGACCGGAAATCGTGCATGTGAAGTGCTCTACCATAGTGGAGAGAAACCACACAGTCTACAAACGCAACGTCTTCCCGGCAGGATTCCAAGAGCCCGAGTAAGTACTTAATGCAAATTTATAAAATTAAATTACATAACGTACCAATTAGTCGAGTTAAAATATAATTGTTATTACACTTGTCATATGATACTAAGTACTAAAATGAAGATAAAATAAATTTAAAGTCACATTATGCAGCATTCGAAATATACAGTTACGATATAACGATTACCGGGAACTCGAGAACGGGGTCTCTTTCTTGGTTGCAGCACTCGCAAAGATCATTGCGGCATGGACTGTATGGCATACACTGTGTGCAATGACAACTGTTCATTTCGGATTTAAGGTCGCCCTCGACATCTAAATCTTTCTCGAGGACCTCTCTCGATGGCGCGTGTGCTTAGGCCACAAAACGTAAATCCGGTACGTGTTGAGTATAATAATTAGATGAACTTGCCATAGAGAAAACGGGACCAAGAAGCCGATTTTATCTTCACAATTTATGGTTAACCTCAACTTTGATCTAAACTGATTCAAGAAAATACAATATAGTAAAATCTCGATATAACGGACTAATACGGCGAATACGAAAAATTTTCAATAAATAATTTTCAAGGACACAAATTCGAATAGCTATGCAAGCCGTTACGTTAAGTCTACTTGGCTTGATATTTATCTTGCTCTGAATAACAACTAAAACTAGAGTTAACACTAGCATTAGAACTAACACTACACTTGGAATCAGAAATATTCGAGTTTAGCCGTGTGTCTCTTAAGACTCCTAACCCCAATGTTTTTAGTTCTAGGTCTAGTGTTAGTTCTGCTTTTCGTTCAATAAAACTATACAACAATCTAGTTCTGAATAACAATTAAAACTAGAACTAACACTATACCTAGAACTCCTAGAATTAGAATCATTCGAGTTTAGCCGTCTTAAGAGACGTATGGCTAAACCCAAATGATTCTAATTCTAGGTATAGTGTTAGTAGAACTAACACTAAAATAATAATAGTGCTAGTGTAAAACTAGAACTACCACTAAACCTAGAACTTGAAACATTCGGGTTTAGCCGTCTTAAGAGACATATGGCTAAACCCAAATGTTTCTAGTTCTAAGTTTAATGTTAGTTCTAGTGACAGTGTAAGTGTAAAACTAGAACTAACCTATACCTAGAACTAGAATCATTCGGGTTTAGCCGTCTTTAGAGACGTGCGGCTAAACTCAAATGATTCCAGTTCTAGGTAAACTGTTAGTTCTACATAGTAATAGTGCTAGTATAAAATTAGAACTAACATTAGACCTAGAACTAGAAACATTCGGGTTTAGCTGTCTTAAGAGACGTATGGCTAAACCTAAATGTTTCTAGTTCTAGATCTAATGTTAGTTCTTTAGCCGCAAGTCTCTAAAGATGGCTGAACCCAAATGATTCTAGTTCTAGATATAGTGTTAGTTGTACATAGTGCTAGTGTAAAACTGGAACTAACACTAGACTTATAAACATTTGAGTTTAACCGTCTTAGGAGACGTATGGCTAAACCCAAATGTTTCTAGTTCTAGGTCTAATGTTAGTTCTAGTGACAGTGCAAGTGCAAAAGTAGAACTAACACTATACCTAGAACTAGAATCATTCGGGTTTAGCCGTCTAAAGAGACGTATGGCTAAGCCCTAATGATTTTAGTTCTAGGTATAGTGTTAGTTCTACATAGTGCTAGTGTAAAACTAGAACTAACACTTGTAATATCTTGAGCCTTTCCAGATATACGAAACAATACCACCTTGGTTACTTTTAAATCAATACTTTATTTGTCTTTTAGAATAAGGATGTTACACTGACCATGACCGTTACAAAGATGATTTTTCGTTTTTACTTATATTATACATAACCTTAAATCTACCGGCGCGTTTGTTCTGCACACCGTAGTCACATCTTTTATATTAAAACTAAAACTATCTATTACAATCCTCCCTCTTTAAGTTTTGCAAGTTTAATCTAGTTGGTGGTTTAAAGTTACTTCTAGGTCTTAACCTTCTATCTGAACCCTGTTTTGAACTTTATCATTCCTTTCGTGTTCTCCTTATTTAGTTCTCTACTATGTTACTTTTTTTATTTCTTATCTCATAGTCAGTTATACTTTCATCATTTTCAGTCTCTTCATTCATTGTCTCCTTATCTTCTTCCATTCTTTCCTCTATCTGCTTTTCATGTTCTGGTCTATCACTGCTCTGAGGAAAGAACAAGTGTTTCATCAAATCCTCCTTTATACTTTCGTCTTTTGCATTTGCATCCGTGTTACAATTCTGGTAAAAGTGTCCAGTCTTTATAATCTGATCCATATATCTCTTCCATACCAGATCAATATTCTCTGAACCTTGACATAAATACGTTCTCGACCCCAATACCTTTATTATTTTTGCTTATGTAAATTTATTCTCTCCAGATTTTCTATAATCCTTCACATAGACAATCTCCCCCTCGTCAAAGTATTGTTCCCTATTACCTTTGAAATGTTTAACTTGATTCTCCCATTTCCTTTCTCTTTCCGTACAATTCATAATGTCTAATCGAGTTTTAATCTTTCTACCAAACATTATCATCGAAGGTGTTTCTCCTGTATAACAATGTGGGTATTACGATATGCAAACAGATATCGACTTATAATATTGGAAAAATTTGTAATTCTATTTGGCTCATCGTAAAGTGCTTTCTTTAATCCTATTTTAAACGATTCGACTGCATTTTCCGCAGCTCCATTGCTTGCAGGATGATTGAATTTGCCAAATTCTTCAAATTTTTTGATACAAATTGTGAACCGTTGTCTGTAAAGATTGAATTCGGTAATCCATATTTTGAGAAACAATCTCTGAGTTTTCCGATTGTGTTTTCTGTATCAGTCTTTGACATTTCATATATCTCCGGCCATTTCGAAAATGCATCAGTAATAATCAAAAATATTTTTATTTCTGAAAGGTTCCATGAAATCTATATGTATTCTGTCAAAAACACCTTTAGCTTCATTAATCTTCTTTTATTATTAACCTTCTTTAACCTTCTTTTGCATCACAGTTCTTAACAACTTGTTCTATGTCATGGTCTAATCACCAAAAATATTGTCTTGCTAACGCTTTCATTTTTGAACTACCAAAATGTGCCACATATAACTCATTCTACATTAGTTCTCTATAAACCTTAGGTATTATCACTCGATAAACCCACATCAGGACACTTGACTCAAAACTGATTTCATTTTTCCTATTAAAAAAAGGTTTAAATATACAGGGTAATTCAAATTCGACCCCCACCATTGGGATCTCAGAAACCATAAGAGAAACACAAATGTTTAAATGGGGGCAAAGTTGCGTATCTGAGAGGTCATCATTTTTCAACTAAGTTTATGAATCTAGCCGTTTTAGTTTTTAAAATAACAACGTTTGGTTGAATGTAAAACACTTCATATTTCCTACAGCTCTCTCTACATCTCTTCTTCTTATGGATCTAAATTCAGTTATGATACTCTCTCTCTGAGGTTTTCAATGTTATCATGTTCTTGCTGGTACACCTTGTTGTTCGAAGTTCCCCATAAAAATGTATCTAAAACATTTAGATCCGAAGATCTTGCAGGCCATCTTATCGTCCCATTATTTCCTATCCATCGATATGGAAATTCTGCATCACAAAAATCACACATTTCACACAATCATTACATTACATTACATTGCATGGATCTATTGTACCCCGATAGATATCGTTATCAAATTTCACCGTGCAGTCCAATGCTCTTAACGAACATTAATACCTTACTCGGCGAAAGGTCATTCAGATCCCTTGAGGAGATAAACTGCGATTCAAAAATCGAGAATCTGATACGGTTAACGGCAGGGCAGTGGCATAAAACATGCTCAACCGTCTCTGCGTCAAGTTGAGGTGTGCTTTTAATCGGCAGTGCCCAGTAAAAACACCCATTACACCTTTATGCTACTACGGGCAAGTCCTAAAATATTCCCGGGTTTGACAGTGGCGATGTTAATAAACACTTTAGCATGTCTCATTCCAGGAGAATTGGTCCACAGTAGGCGAAGTCTCTCTTCAGCCCACAGTCCAATCCTATATTTGGCCATCGCAAATGATACACCAACTGCTGGTTCCGCCCCCACAAACGCTTCAGCGCTGCCATCTCGTGCTAGCTCATCTGCCGCTTCATTGCCAGCAACCCCAGAGTGACCCGGGACCCATCAGAGAGATTCTGTTATCACAACTAAGTGTGTTTAATGTTCTCTTACAATCATTAACCAGAGCCGACACCGTTTTCACGGCTTGCAGCGCCTGGAGAGCGGCTTGATTGTCTGAGAAAATTCGTACTGTCATGTTCTTCACCCCTCTTTCAAGAAGGATTTTAGCACCCATGTCAATAGCAAATACTTCCGCCTGGAATACAGTACAGTACGTACCCAGGCTGTAGCTTGCTTAATTCGGGGTGTCTGGCAGTAACTCCTGCTCCTACCCCTTCAGGCGTTTTTGATCCATCTGTGTACAAGCAAATGTCTGCCTGGAGCAGAAATTTTCATTTTCGATCCAGGACTGCCGCTCAGGCAGTACAATCTGGTATCGACCATTAATCACCGATAGTGATACCGCCAAATCTGACGGCATTGATAGCACAGTATCAGTGCTTATAATGTCTTCCGCAGCCCATTGGTAAGACATGTCGGAACAGTTTTGAGCATATTGCTTAAATCTGTAAATGGTTGTTCTAGCCACTTTCTCTATATGCAAATGCAGAGGAGATAGGCCAAGCAGAACCTCCATTGCTAGAGTTGGCGTTGTGCCTATCGCACCAGAGATTGCCAATCCAGCTACTCGTTGAATTCGTGAAAGTTACTAATTCGTAAGTTTACTGATAACTGAAGTCTGTCGGACTTTCCTATACCAGGCTGCTGCTCCGTATGTGATCATAGGTCTAACCACAGTCACATAGAGCCAGTACAGTCTTTCAGGGGTAAGACCCCAATTTTTTCCACAAAGACTGCGACAAGTCCACAAGGATAGTCTAGCTTTGTACAAAACTCCCTGCAAATGTCCATTCTATGACAGGGTCTTGTCTAGGATTACTCCTAGATATTTGACTTCCTTTGAGAAAGGAATTTCTTCACCTTGGATAGTTGGGCGGATTAATCCATCCAACTTTCGTTTCCTGCGGGTTTATTGAGAGGTTCTCTCCCTTACACCAAGCGCAAATGGTATCTAGGGTCACCTGGAGGACTTTAGATATCCTCGGCAAACAGGTTCCTTTGACCATAACGACAATGTCATCAGCATAAGCTTGTATTTCCACACCAACGCCTTCGACTATCGCAATCAGATCGTCAACTAGGAGGGACCAAAGCAGGGGAGATAACACCCCTCCCTGCGGGCAGCCACCTCCCGGGCTGAAGCGTATCGTATCACCGTGGAGTGAAGTAGAAACTATTCTACTATCTAGCATATTGCGGATCCAACCCGATATAGTTGCTTCCACTCCTCTGTCAAGAGTAGCTCTTTCAAGAGATTGTGGTATTGCGTTGTTGAACGCTCCCTCTATATCCAGAAACGCACAAACCAAGATTTCTTTATCCTGCAGCGTACTGGATACTCTACCAACTAAGTTGTGTAGAGCCAATTCTGCTGATTTTCCCGCTTGATAAGCATACTGGTGGCGGCTCAGTGGACCAGATACCAATGGCACCATACGGATATACCGTTCCAGAACTTTTTCAAGGGTTTTCAGCAGAAATGACGTTAGGCTGATGGGTCGAAAGGCATTAGAAGTAGGGACCGAACGGCCCGCTTTGGGTATGTAAGAAACCCTTACCTTAGTCCATTCTGCCACACAATCATACATTTCTCCATTCAAATTACCCCAGAAAAATGTGGATCTGATTTTCGATTTTCATAGATTCCTGCCCATACATTTAAACTAAAATGAATTCGTGTCCTGATTTCTTTGAATTGCATGGGATTGTTGATGCTCCAAATATGCTCATTGTTTCTGTTGAAAACACCAGAATTTGTAAAAGTACTTACGTCAGTCCAAATTATGTTTAAAAATTCAGGAGAAATATTGATTTGATTTATAATCCAGTTGCAATACACTAGCTTCTTCCGGGATCTCCTGGGTGTAATTTTTTTTGAAACGTGTACTTTATTGGGGTTGAGCCGTCTTTAGAGACGTGCGGCTAAACCCGAATGATTCTAGTTCTATGTATAGTGTTAGTTCTACATAGTAATAGTGCTAGTGTAAAACTAGAACTAACACTAGACCTAGAAACATTCGGGTTTAGCCGTCTTAAGAGGCGTATGGCTCAACCTAAATGTTTCTAATTCTAGGTCTAATGTTAGTTCTAGGTATAGTGTTAGTTCTACATAATAATAGTGCTAGTGTAAAACTAGAACTACCACTAGACCTAGAAACATCCGGGTTTAGCAGTCTTAAGAGACGTATGGCTAAACCTAAATGTTGCTAATTCTAGGTCTAATGTTAGTTCTAGTGACAGTGCAAGTGCAAAAGTAATAGTACTAGTGTAAAACTAGAACTACCACTAAACCTAGAACTTGAAACATTCGAGTGTAGCCGTCTTAAGAGACATATGACTAAACCCAAATGTTGCACGTCTCTAAAGACGGTTAAACCCAAATGTTTCTAGTTCTAGGTCTAATGTTAGTTCTAGTGACAGTGCAAGTGTAAAAGTAGAACTGTCACTACAACCTAGAACTAGAGTGATTCGGGTTTAGCCGTCTTAAGAGACGTATGGCTAAACCTAAATGTTTCTAGTTCTAGGTCTAATGTTAGTTCTACATAGTACTAGTGTAAAACTAGAACTAACACTTGATCTAGAACTACAAATAGTCGGGTTTAGCCGTCATTAGAGAGAGTAAATGTTTTAGTTAATCTAAAAATGATTTAAGAATAATATTTTTATATCTATAATAAATTTGAACAGGTGTGGTTTGTATTTTCTCATTTAGGAAAATTTTTACACACAATAACGATAAACGTTAAAGTTGAATGTAATATCGCTATCTAACGTGTCGTAAACGAATAACTGTCGATAGAAACAATTTGTCCTAGAGGCAAAGCGTCCCATAACATCGATGATGTAGTAACCGAGACCGGACATAAAACCTTGTACGTTTAATTGACGTTGTAAAAATAGCTGGATGTGACTGGTCCTTTGCCGGCGGCATGAAAAACAGATGGCACTTTATAAAGAAAACGCAATTATTCATTAATAGTTAAGGCGAGGTCGTCGAATTGGAGAGATGTAATTACCGCTTGAAAATTACCTTTGTTCTTCTTTTACAGCGACATCTCAAATATAACCGATTTTATAACAGCGAGAGCGCCAGCGCCTAAACTGGGAGTTGGTGTTAGACAAGGAGGTAAACTAGTAACGGGAGAGTTGAATGTATCTCCTGGAACTCAACTGAAAATGGAGATCTTCCTAGATCAAGAATCCGCTCCTATCTATGGTATTTTGGTGAATAACATGCAGGTTACCGATACAAAGACTCAAGAGGAAATGATTATTACCAATGGGTGAGTATCTACAATCGAGCGATTTCTATCATCACTACATAGAATGGAATTTATGTTATATAGAAAGGACGCATTCCCGTAAAACTGTAGGGGACTAGTTTCCGTATAGATTATGCCATTATATTGCGAAAACCAATCCCGTGCAGTTGGTACTGGGTTTATAGGGAATCGGGATTAGCAGTTACAATGTTGCGCGCGTACGCTGTTGGTCGTGTTTGTGGGTGATCGGGTTAATTGAGCAATATTTAACCCGATCCAACCTGTAAAGACCAGCTTTAATATTCGATACACGCAAAAAGAGGATTCGTTAAATCCAATTGTTTTTGCAAATTTGCTTTTATCACAAATTTTATTTTACAGATGTGCTGTTGACCCTTACCTTTTCGGAAACTTTAACACCACCGATGGAGATTTCTTACAAGCGGAATTCCGAGCTTTTAAATTTCCTGATTCAACATACGTCCAATTTAAAGGAACAGTAAATGTTTGTTTGGATATGTGTATTGGCGTAAGTATTTTAGTTTATTAAAATTAATTTTTTTATGTCTAATTTATGAAGCATAACGCAAACTTTAACGATAAAATTTTGCTTCTCCCACAAGATTTAAGGACTAATTAATGAGCGCAGGCGCTAGAAGCTTGTTGCTCGCACATAAATTATTATACAGGTTGTTTATTAATTAGTGGCAGTTGGGTGGCGGCGCCTTGCGAAGTTTCCTCGCCCAGGGAATTTACGTCCAACGTAAAATGGCAATTTACCTTCTGTGGGAGATCGAATCCTGTTTTATATACAATTATCATCTAACAACCATAAAGAGTCCATGTAACCTTTAAGTTTATCGCGGTAATAAAAAGAAAAACGATGAGAAAAATATTCAAATTTGAATATTTAAAGAACCCAATTAATTCCAATTTTTTAATTTGACGTTTTCTACGAGGATAGGATGTAATATTTTATCTTGTATACAACGATAGAAGTCGGCGAAAACACTTTTATATCCTTATATGAAATATAAGAGAACGTATATTCTATTTTATCCAACTATATATCGCAAAAGCAATTAAGTTAACCAAAAAGTCACCGATATTTTCGGTCGTATATTTTAACTGGAGCGAAAACAGCCTTCGACTCGACTGGTTTGACCATTATTTAGTGATATATTGTACTGAAACTGTCGCCATCTAGGTCAAAGAAGTTACTAAATCGAAATTCTTTAAACGAAGAATCCGAAACGAACTTGAATTATATCAGTATTACTTTATAAACAAACGTGGCATTGATTTGGTGATACAGATCAATACGATTTAATCGCTAATGCGTAATAACACACCAAGAATGTGAGCAATGCATATGTATCTAGTTGCGGCAAGGTGCGGCTAATATTAAACGTTGATGATATATGATCAAATAGCTAATCTTTGACAGTGAGCTACTAATGGGATTTTCTAAAACATTTAATATGTCGAGTTTTATCCCCGGGGTTCGAAGAAAGATGTTGCATCTATAAGATGTCTATAAAAAATGTGTCGTAATTTCCTTGATTTTAAGTAGTGATTTTGCGAAAAGCCGGATATTCGGCATGTCCTGCGGCCGGATATCCGGTTATCCGGCATATCTAACCAGCCATTATGGTTATAACTTCTGGTGCATTTCTGAAGTGATACCCTACATTGCCACATTATTGCAATATTTGAATAAAAATGAAATTAATAAGAAAGCTGATAAGATATGTCAACTTATTTTGATCCAACATACAAAATGAACTTTTTTGATGCTGATTTAACTCACGAAGCAACTCTAAAATGAGGATACTTGAATTAATAATTGGCGATATTTCCACAAGGATCCTTCAAGAAATTAATTTTATAACGAATTTTGAAAATTATCGATGAAAATTGCAACATCGAAAATTTTATCGACTTCAAATATTGTTTTCTCAAAAACTAAAAGTTATTTTTTAAAACGGGTTTGTTCAATGGAGAGAAGACACTTTTATTGTCACTTTGGGAAATTTTCATACTCATATTCCAAGAACTGGATTTTATACGAATTTTTAAAACTTAATTGGCGAAAATTGCAAAATTCGAAAAAATTGTCGATTATTTCAAAAATTTATTTCTCAAGAACTAAAAGTGATTTTTCAAAACGGCTTTTTGCATTAAAAAGAGGATACTTTAATTAATAATTGGTGATATTTCCACAAGGATCCTTCAAGAAATTAATTTTATAGCGAATTTTGAAAGTTATCGATGAAAATTGCAACATCGAAAATTTTATCAAAACTTCAAATATTGTTTTCTCAAAAACTAAAAGTTATTTTTCAAAACGGGTTGGTTCATTGGAAAGAGGACACTTTTATTAACACTTTGGGAAATTTTCATACTCATATTCCAAGAACTGGATTTTATACGAATTTTTAAAACTTAATTGGCGAAAATTGCAAAATTCGAAAAAATTCTAGATTATTTCAAAAATTTATTTCTCAAGAACTAAAAGTGATTTTTCAAAACGGCTTTCTGCATTAAAAAGAGGATTCTTTAATTAATAATTGGTGACATTTCCACAAGGATCCTTCAAGAAATTAATTTAATAGCGAATTTTGAAAATTATTGATGAAAATTGCAACATCGAAAATTTTATCTTACTTCAAATATTGTTTTCTCAAAAACTAAAAGTTATTTTTTAAAACGTGTTGGTTCATTGGAAAGAGGACACTTTTATTAACACTTTGAGAAATTTTCATACCCATATTCCAAGAAATGGATTTTATACGAATTTTTAAAGCTTAATCGGCGAAAATTGCAAAATTCGGAAAAATTCTCGATCATTTCAAAAATTTATTTCTCAAGAACTGAAAGTGATTTTCAAAACGGCTTGTTACATTAAAAATAGGATACTTTAATTAATCATTGGTGATATTTCCACAAGTATCCATCAAGAAATGTATTTTATAGCGAATTTTGAAAGTTATCAATGAAAATTGTAACATCGAAAATTTTATCAAAACTTCAAATATTGTTTTCTCAAAAACTAAAAGTTATTTTTCAAAACGGGTTGGTTCATTATAAAGAGGACACTCTTATTAACACTTTGGGAAATTTTCATACTCATATTCCAAGAACTGGATTTTATACGAATTTTTAAAACTTAATCGGCGGAAATTGCAAAATTCGAAAAAATTGTCGATTATTTCAAAAATTTATTTCTCAAGAACTAACAGCGATTTTTCAAAACGGCTTGTTGCATTAAAAAGAGATTAATTTTAAGTAATGTAAAAAATGTTGTTTAAAGTTGCCTTTTTTGAATGTTCGTGCTTTTCCTTTTTTTCAATCCAATTAATGATACAGAGAATGTAAAATGTGTTTTNTTCCAAGAAATGGATTTTATACGAATTTTTAAAACTTAATTGGCGAAAATTGCAAAATTTGAAAAAATTCTCGATCATTTCAAAAATTTATTTCTCAAGAACTGAAAGTGATTTTCAAAACGGCTTGTTACATTAAAAATAGGATACCTACTTTAATTAATCATTGGTGATATTTCCACAAGTATCCATCAAGAAATGTATTTTATAGCGAATTTTGAAAGTTATCAATGAAAATTGCAACATCGAAAATTTTATCAAAACTTCAAATATTGTTTTCTCAAAAACTAACAGCTATTTTTCAAAACGGGTTGGTTCATTGGAAAGAGGACACTTTTTTTAACACTTTGGGAAATTTTCATACTCATATTCCAAGAACTGGATATTATACGAATTTTTAAAATTTAATTGGCGGAAATTGCAAAATTCGAAAAAATTGTCGATTATTTAAAACATTTATTTCTCAAGAACTAAAAGTGATTTTTCAAAACGGCTTTTTGCATTAAAAAGAGGACACTTTAATTAATAATTGGTGATATTTCCAGAAGGATCCTTCAAGAAATTAATAGTATAACGATTTTGAAAATTATCGATGAAAATTGCAACATCGAAAATTTTATCAAAACTTCAAATATTGTTTTCTCAAAAACTAAAAGCTATTTTTCAAAACGGGTTGGTTCATTGGAAAGAGGACACTTTTATTAACACTTTGGGAAATTTTCATACTCATATTCCAAGAAATGGATTTTATACGAATTTTTAAAACTTAATCGGCGAAAATTGCAAAATTCGAAAAAATTGTCGATTATTTCAAAAATTTATTTCTCAAGAACTAACTGCGATTTTTCAAAACGGCTTGTTGCATTAAAAAGAGATTAATTTTAAGTAATGTAAAAAATGTTGTTTAAAGTTGCCTTTTTTGAATGTTCGTGCTTTTCCTTTTTTTCAATCCAATTAATGATACAGAGAATGTAAAATGTGTTTTCAAGACCAAGACACGCCTTTGGTTATAATTTTCTTTCTCTATGATTGGAAGCCAAAGAATTTGCGATGTCTGCGTATGGTAATTTTGTTGTAGAGATAATTGGTTTATTATTTCATGAAACGGGGAATGTAGCAGATGACTTATCATTTAAATTCTTGAGTCATATGCTTTAAGTATGTGGCAATAGCGTACGTGGTAGGTATCAGCAGATCAAACTTTAAGAGGACAAAGAACGCTGTGAACCAAGCACTATTATGATTCCTGACAGAATATCTCTGGAATCTCTGAACGAGGTTAGACACTAGGAGATCTATTATAGTCTACGATTTGAGTCTACTTTCGTTATTGTATAGCGTCTTTCATTGCCCAATGCTTTCTGCACCATTTCTTTATGCAGTATGGTACTCAAAATCTCTATCAGTTTCACGATTCTTCGAGTCTTCAAGGGGATTAGTTAATAATTAGCAGAAAACTTTGTTCTTCCGATCGAGTACTTCTGCTCTTGTATCAAAATCAAGGTTGAACTTTTTTCTACGCTCTATCCTGATAGCTTCACCCAAGTAATTCCAGCAAATAAGAGCACTTACAAGTGTTTGTTATTATTAGATGCTGTTTCCTTCGTTGTGTTTTTGTAATCTTCGCCGAAGCTTATTGCATTCCCTATCATTTCAACAGTAGACCTATTCTCGACACTCAATCGCATTGTTTGGCATCACTTTGTATGACCCTGATACATTCTCCATTGTCTTATTTCTCTAGTACCACTTTGATCTGTTTCACGGTGTCTTAGAAGTCTTCTTTTTCCATTACCAGGTTAATCTATATCTTTCTGGCGAACATGGAGAAGAATTAGGATTATAATTCTAGTTATGAGTTCTGTTTTTTTTTACTTCTTGATCTGTTTCAGTTTTTAAAATTATTAGTGTATCAATTACCCAATTTTTTTTCGATACTTCTTTATTTACTACTAAACTTCTATCACACTTTTCGTATGCAAAGGTTGTTCTGGCTTCTTTCTTTGAATTCATTTAGCCAGCTTCCTTTAGACATATCTTCGGTTTGTTGTAAATTGATGCTTCTGGGTTGGTTGTATGTATGTATGTATGGATTGGGGAGTGCATGCAAAACCGCACGCCACACTTAGGCCCCATTGGGCCCCTTGTGCATCCTCCCATTACACGCTCTGGTCACATCAACCAGCCTAAGGATTTACCAAAGGCTAGGACAGCTCCTAGAGGTGCATTCCTGATGTCATCTGTGGTTGGCCATTCCTCCCCGAAGGTCCTCAATCTGAGGTCGGTCAGAGAGGGGCAATCACACAAGATGTGTTTAACCGTCTCGTCATCCTGTTCACAGGCTCGACAGAGAGGAGAGTCAGCAAGCTTCATGTTTTGAAGGTGCTTATTTACTTTACAGTGTCCCGTGAGGAGACCTGTGGCAGTGCGAAGGGCACTTTTACCGAGCCCTACGAAAAACTGGGCTGTTGCGGCTGAAGGATATTTTAACAATTCCTTAGCGAGATGACAGCCCGGGGTACGGTCCCACCCGTTTAAAAATTTTTTGTGGGTAATGTGCTTTATTAACTCGATATGAGTGGCTAAGGAGGGGGTAATTATCGGCTCGGGTGCACAGGGCGCTCTACCGGCAGCACGTTTGGCTAGCCTGTCCGCGTGGTTGTTACCCTTGGAGCCGGAATGCCCTTTAATCCACTGGATTCTGACAGAATTGTATTTCGCGGCCTCCTCCAGTGCTTTGTGACAATCCATAACTACTGCAGACGTTATAATAACTCTGCTTAAAGCTAAAAGAGATTGTTTACTGTCTGTAAAAATAGTAAAACACTTACCCCGCTTGTTGGATTCAACAATGCAGTCAGCAGCAAGTTTAATAGCAGTTAGTTCCGCTTGTATGACGGTGGTGCTGGACCCTAAAGGTTCTGAGAGGCGAATCAGGGGATCGTGAGAGAATACCCCCGCGCCTGCACCATTTCGTCCTTTTGAACCATCAGTGTAGATCTTTAAGGTTCTATGTACATCTACAACTGTGGGACTGACGTGGGTGAGGTACTTCCTTGAGAAAACATATTTTGCTGGTCTGTGATCAGTCTTACACTCGAGTAGGGGTGTGTCTAGCACTGCTTCCCTCCAGAGTGTTGAACTGCTGCCAGCGTCCTCATCCTTCATAGTTCCTACTGATTGTAGTCGTTTCATGGTTACCAACGCCACTTCCTGGATATGTAGGTTGAGTGGTGGTAAATTTAACATGATTTCCATGGCCGCTGTGGGGGTTGATCGCAGCGCACCTGTAACATACAGACACGCGAGTCTCTGTATTCTATTAAGCGCAGTGGTGGCGGTAGACTTAGAAGTTCTAGTCCACCATACCACCGCACCGTAAGTTAGCATTGGTCGAACAACGGCGGTGTAGATCCACAGGGCTATCTTGGGAGACAGACCCCAAGTCCTCCCGACAGCCCTCCGGCACTGGCCGAAGGCGACACAAGCTTTATTAACTCTATTGTCTAGGTGGGATTTCCACGTTAGCTTACTGTACTTGACTTCTGTAGACAGTTTAAGTGGAATTTTAGCGAGGAATTAAGTGGAATTTTTTCTGGGTTGGTTATCATCATTATTATTTTCATCAGAGTAATTATCATCACGGAAAAGACTCACTATTATCACTGATAATCCTTGGCATCGTCCAAACTACTCGACATCCATATTATCTGTAACCATTTTAACCTGGCCAACCTCAACATTATTATGGACAGGACTTAATACGACAATAATGTCTCTGATAACTCTCAACATTGTTTCAGACATCACTTAATATTATATCTGGCACTCCCTACGTTATGAAAACTGGTCAACATATTACAGAACCTTGACCGCAAATGACCTTGGCTAAACTCAGAATGTCAGAAAACATTACTCAATTGTGCAGAATTCCTTCATTAGCAAAGACTTCTACATATATTGAGATTAAGGGCTTTGAAATTGTGCAACATCGATTTTGATAAATTCACGTTGCATTTCTTCGACCTTGAGGAGAACAGATTTTTCGGAATCAAGATCAACCTGAAAGCGCGCCAGTTGAATGATGAGTGCCAGCCTCCAGATGTTAGTGCCATAATTCCTCGACGATTTTTTGGAAACAAAGTTAGTAAATTTTTTTTGATTCAACAGCATCTTTAATCACTCAGAGTCTTAGGATGGTGTCTTTCGAAGACTCCGTTATAAAGAGAGAGGTGCTCTACGTCGTGAATAGCCAGATAGAGAGATGACAATCAGAGATGATTCAACCTTAACGTTTTAGTAGAGTAAAACTTAGTTCTAATTTTGTTATCTCTTAGCTTTTTTTACACTTACTATTATGCCGGATAAATTTTCTCATTTTCTCAATCGTTCTTCATTGTGTTCCAGTTATGTGTATCAAAAAATATTATCATCACACCACACTATTTGCATATTGAGAAATTGCGTTTACTTCCCGATATAAGTTAGTCCCGTAATTCTTTTTACTTTGTTCTATGTTACGTCGAAATCTTTACCTTAAATTATTTCGATTAAAAAAGACAATTCCTTAAATCCGCTCGATTTAATCATTAGATCGATTGGAAATGCTTTGGAACAAAAGTAGACCCCACAAGTATAAACAAGTTTTTTTGGCTTCTATCAGAATTCCATCAACATGTCTATACCACTTTAAACTACTTGCATCCCTGAGGAACTTCTCTAGTTATTTTAAACACACTTCCTTTCCAGTGTATCGATCTTGCCAAATGGTGCAGTTCTGAAAAGCATTACTGAAGACGAAGTAATCATTAAGATCTTTATCCTTTACCACTTCTACACTTGTTGAATTTGTTTGCCGCATATATAAGTTTCGTTATGGCATGTAAGATAAACTTTTAACATAACTGCATGTTTACTAGTTATCGAGGTTATATTGAAAAAGCTGGTAATTTAAAAAGTCGTATCTCAAAAATGAGATGAGATAACATAATGAGATAAAGAGTATATTAAGTCAAATTTAATCTAGTTTTAGTTGCGTCATAAATAGTTTTTTAATTCCCAGTAACATGCATGTTCTAATGTTTTCAATTTAACTCTGCATTTATAATAATTATATAAGCTATATTGCTAAATATGAAATTTAAAAGATCCTATCTCAAGATCTAATTGAGATATCCAGGTGAAATACACAGTATTTTAATACACAATTAATCTTATTTTAGTGTGCTGTAAATAATTTTATTGTTGCCATAATCCTGATTGTCATGAACTTTTAAATATAACTCTGCATGTTTACTAGATACGGAGGTTATATTGAGAAAGCTAATAATTTAAAATGAGATATATCCAGAATGTGATAAAGAGCATATTGAGCCAAAGTTAATCTAGTTTTATTTGTACCATAATTTTTCTTTTGTTTCCATAATTTTAGTTGTTATAGCTTTTTGAATCCAAATTTACGTTTATGACAATTATACAAAGTATGTTAATAACGATGAAATTTGAAAGATCGTTACTCAAGAACTAATTGATGTATGAACATGAAATAAAAAGCATTTTAATCCAAAATTAATGTAATTTTAGTGTGCCATAAACCAATATATTGTTGCCATAAACCTGACTGCCATGAACTTTTAAACATAATTCTGCATGTTTGTTAATTGTGGAGGTTATATTGAAAAAGCTGATGCTTTAAAAAGTCGTATCTCAAAAGCGAGTTGAGATATCATAATGAGATATTGAGCCAAATTTGATCTAGTTTTATTTGTGAATTTGTACCAATTTCAATCCTGTACTGCTGAATGATCTGATTTCAAAGTTATAAGCTTGTTATATAAGTTTTAGTATATATTTTTTTTCTATTTTTAGGTTGGTTGTCGTGATGAAACCATTGGTTATGGAAGACGTAAAAGAGCGATTCCCGAATTACCAGCAGATCCGAATAAGATTTTTGAAATTTCCATAACATCTTTCATAAAAGTAAAGGATGAAAAGGGGGAATTCGAAGAGATCGTAAAAGAACAAGAAAAAATTTATAGTGATAAAAAATTGATAGCCGGAAGTCAACTTAAAGAGAAAAAATTTATAACATCGGATCCCGCTAATTTTAAATTGGAAAAAATCAGCGAGGAAGAACAAGAATACATTATTCAAAGCTCAACTACAAGAAGTTGTAACATTTCATTTTCACTTCTTGCTATAGCGACAATTTTGATTAACAGATTATTCCTATAGATACAACGACTAGCAAAAGGTGAATGTGAAAGAAAGAATGTTTAAAAGACAATTTGCGGTGCAGAAAAATAACAAAAAAAAGCGATTTATCCTTGATTTACAACGAACGATAACGATTTTAATTTTGTTTTCTTATTGAATTTTAATGCTTAAGGATGACTGTGATACTTACGATGTTATTAAAACAAAAATACTACCTTTTGTATTAATTTTCGGACTCTGCACATAAACACAACATTATATTTTTAGCCGACCTTTATAGCATAAGATTTTTTTTCCTTAACAAAAAAATTAATCATAAAAATAACTGCCAGCTTTAAATTAATTAATTTTAAAATGATAATTTTGATAAATCGTTAAAAAAAATTAAAAATAAAAATAAAATACCATTAAAATAACTCTATTAGTAATTTGTAAAGTAAATATTCATTTTTGATTTGTAAGGTGAGTTGGCGTGAATAATTCGGGCGAAAATTTTATTGTTGAACACATTTGTAGTTAATAAACTTAATTTAGAATTCATGATATTCACTTTTGCATTGAATTGGAAATAAATAAAATTAAACCGACGGTAAATAAATTATAATAGATGAAAATTAAATAAATAATACCTTCCTCGTTTATGGAATAGACAGCGTAATAATTATCGGGAATTTAATTATATAATATTCGCGTTAATTATTTCACCGATTTTTTCATGCTAACTAAACCATAGAATTAAGTAAAACGATCAATCAATATCGACGTATTTCTGTAAATAATTCTATACAAAAAAAATCTTCTGTTCAAGTAAAACTGTTCGCACAATTTACCACATTCCAGAATTAAATCGAAGAAAGATATAAATCAACACGAACTGTAAAAAAAGACCTACTCATCAGAACATTATTCGTTCAATAACGTGTGTGTCACTTACTAGAAGTCTTCCGAGTGTAAAAAAGAAATCTCGCTCTTGACACGAAGGTCTTTGTTCCTGAAAAGCGAGATCATCGCGGGACGATTGAATTATTGAGAAACGTCTGCAGTAATATTTCTCTTCGTTCCGTTTTATCTCCCTCTTCGGGATTTTTTTTCGATGAGTGTAACACCTTTTGGAAATCTTCTCGTTTTGGAATTATATTACGATGATGGCGTTTGTGAACGTTTGCGAAAATCGAACGTGATGATGTGACACAATCATTCACTCGATGGGATCTTTTTGATTCGTTCGTGTTATTGTCGTGTATGATACGTTTTTATAACTAGTCTGTATTAATTCAATAAAAAGTATTAATAAAAATGATTATATTTATTTTAACCCGGCACGAAATTGATTTTGAATGTTGTAAATAAATAACGATTAAATTCTGTTAACGGGAGCAAGTAAAACGTTTTAACGCCTTTCAAAACTCTGGGTGTTAGTTCGGTAATTTAATTTTTCGAAACCAACCGGAGTTTATTCAGTTTAGATATCGATTTTATATTTGTATTCGAAAGGGGAATCGACGTATTTTCCCGTGAGATAAAATTAAATTCTCTAATTGTGTATAGACGTCTAAACCAATATAATTTTGATTAGTTTTACTTGGGTTGAAACAGGTACACCAGAGGAAGTTCAGCTGTCTATATTACTGGCATTATTACAGTTCGTGAAGAGAATTTATAGCAACATTATGGCTTTATTTTTAGTTCAAATTTAGAGCCAAAATAACACGAAAATACTACACTAATGATATTCGCAGACAGGAAGATATTAATAATGATAATAATTTAAACAATCGAATCTCAAAAACGAGATGAGGTATCATAATGAGAAAAGAGCTCCAAAATTAATCTATTTTTAGTGTGCCATTAACAATTTTACAGTTTCCATAAACCTGATCCAACTCTACAATTATGATAATTATGGAAATTGCAAAGGATGAAATTTAAAATATCGTAACTCAAAAGCTAATTGAGATATCAAAACAATATAAAAATCATTTTAAATCAAATTTCATCTAATTTTAGTGTGCCATAAGCAATTTCATAATTTCCATAAACCTGATTGTCATAAACTTTTAAACTCTTCATGTGTAAGTTGTGAAGGTTATATTGAAGAAACTTATAGTTTAAAAAATCGTATCTCAAAAACGATATGAGGTATCATATTGAGCTAAAATTAATCTACTTTCAATTATGTCATAATCAATTTCTTGTTTCCAGTATTTTTGTTGCTAGAATTTTTTAATCCAACTCTTTGTGACAATTATAAAAGTTATGTTAGTGATGATGGAATTTGAAAGATCGTTACTCATAAGCTGGATGAGATATTAAAATGAAATAAAAAGCATTTTATAACAAAATTAATCTAATTTTAGTGTGCCATAAACAATATCATAATTTCCATAAACCTAATTTCCACAAATTTTTAACTATAAGCCTACATGTACAAGTTATGACGGTTATATTGAAGAAACTTATAGTTTAAAAAATCATATCTCAAAAACGAGATGAGGTATCATATTGAGCCAAAATTAATCCAGTTTCAATTATGTCATAATCAATTTCTTGTTTCTAGTATTTTTGTTGCTAGAATTTTTCAATCCAACTCTTTGTGACAATTATAAAAGTTATGTTAGTGATGATGGAATTTGAAAGATCGTTCCTCATAAGCTGAATGAGATATTAAAATGAAATAAAACGCATTTTATAACAAAATTCATCTAATTTTAGTGTGCCATAAACAATATCATAATTTCCATACACCTGATTTCCACAAATTTTTAACTATAAGTCTTCATATACAAGTTATGACGGTTACGTTGAAGAAACTTATAATTTAAAAAATCGTATCTCAAAAACGAGATGAAATATCATATTGAGCCAAAATTAATCCAGTTTCAATTATGTCATAATCAATATCTTATTTCCAATATTTTTGTTGCTAGAATTTTTCAATCTAACTCTTTGTGACAATTATAAAAGTTATGTTAGTGATGATGGAATTTGAACGATCGTTATTCATAAGCTGAATGCGATATTAAAATGAAATAAAAAGCATTTTAAAACAAAATTCATCTAATTTTATTGTGCCAAACACAATATCATAATTTCCATAAACCTAATTTCCACAAATTTTTAACTATAAGCCTACATGTACAAGTTATGACGGTTATATTGAAGAAACTTATAGTTTAAAAAATCATATCTCAAAAACGAGATGAGATATCATATTGAGCCAAAATGAATCTAGTTTCAATTATGTCATAATCAATTTCTTGTTTCCACTATTTTTGTTGCTAGAATTTTTCAATATAACTCTTTGTGACAATTGTAAAAGTTATGTTAGTGGTGATGGAATTTGAACGATCGTTATTCATAAGCTGAATGAGATATTAAAACGAAAAAAAGCATTTTAAAACAAAATTCATCCAATTTTAGTGTGCCATAAACAATATCATAATTTCCATAAACCTGATTTCCACAAATTTTTAACTATAAGCCTACATGTACTAGTTATGACGGTTATATTGAAGAAACTTATAATTTAAAAAATCGTATCTCAAAAACGAGATGAGATATCATATTGAGCTAAAATTAATCTACTTTAAATTATGTCATAATCAATTTCTTGTTTCCAGTATTTTTGTTGCTAGAATTTTTTAATCCAACTCTTTGTGACAATTATAAAAGTTATGTTAGTGATGATGGAATTTGAAAGATCGTTACTCATAAGCTGGATGAGATATTAAAATGAAATAAAAAGCATTTTATAACAAAATTCATCTAATTTTAGTGTGCCATAAACAATATCATAATTTCCATAAACCTGATTTCCACAAATTTTTAACTATAAGCCTACATGTACAAGTTATGAAGGTTATATTGAACAAACTTATAGTTTAAAAAGTTGTATCTCAAAAACGAGATGAGATATAATATTGAGCTAAAATTAATCTACTTTCAGTTATGTCATAATCAATTTCTTGTTTCCAGTATTTTTGTTGCTACAATTTTTTAATCCGACTCTTTGTGACAATTATGAAAATTATGTTAGTGATGATGGAATTTGATCGATCGTTATTCATAAGCTGAATGAGATATTAAAACGAAATAAAAAGCATTTTAAAACAAAATTCATCTAATTTTATTGTGTCAAACAAAATATCATAATTTCCATAAACCTAATTTCCACAAATTTTTAACTATAAGCCTACATGTACAAGTTATGACGGTTATATTGAACAAACTTATAGTTTAAAAAGTCGTATCTCAAAAACGAGATGAGATATAATATTGAGCCAAAATTAATCTACCTTCAGTTATGTCATAATCAATTTCTTGTTTCCAGTATTTTTGTTGCTACAATTTTTTAATCCAACTCTTTGTGACAATTATAAAAGTTATGTTAGTGATGATGGAATTTGAAAGATCGTTACTCATAAGCTGAATGAGATATTAAAACGAAATAAAAAGCATTTTATAACAAAATTAATCTAATTTTATTGTGCCAAACACAATATCATAATTTCCATAAACCTAATTTCCACAAATTTTTAACTATAAGCCTACATGTACAAGTTATGACGGTTATATTGAACAAACTTATAGTTTAAAAAGTCGTATCTCAAAAACAAGATGAGATATATTGAGCCAAAATTAATCTAGTTTCAATTATGTCATAATCAATTTCTTGTTTCCAGTATTTTTGTTGTTTTTAATCCAACTCCTTGTAACAATTATAAAAGTTATGTTAGTGATGATGGAATTTGAAAGATCGTTACTCATAAGCTGGATGAGATATTAAAACAAAATAAAAAGCATTTTATAACAAAATTAATCTAATTTTAGTGTGCCATAAACAATATCATAATTTCCATAAACCTGATTTCCACAAACTTTCAACTATAAGTCTTCATGTACAAGTTATGACGATTACATTGAAGAAACTTATAATTTAAAAAATCGTATCTCAAAAACAAGATGAGATATCATATTGAGCCAAAATTAATCTACTTTCAATTATGTCATAATTAATTTCTTGTTTCCAGTATTTTGTTGCCAGAATTTTTTAATCCAACTCTTTGTGACAATTATAAAAGTTATGTTAGTGATGATGGAATTTGAAAGATCGTTATTCATAAGCTGAATGAGATATTAAAACGAAATAAAAAGCATTTTAAATTAAAATTCATCTACTTTTAGTGTACCATAAGCAATATCATAATTTCCATAAACCTGATTTCCACAAATTTTTAACTATAAGTCTTCATATACAAGTTATGACGGTTATATTGAAGAAACTTATAATTTAAAAAATCGTATCTCAAAAACGAGATGAGATATATTGAGCCAAAATTAATCTAGTTTCAATTATGTCATAATTAATTTCCTGTTTCCAGTATTTTTATTGCCAGAATTTTTTAATCCAACTCTTTGTGACAATTGTAAAAGTTATGTTAGTGATGATGGAATTTGAAAGATCGTTATTCATAAGCTGAATGAGATATTAAAACTAAATAAAAAGCATTTTAAATTAAAATTCATGTAATTTTAGTGTACCATAAGCAATATCATAATTTCCATAAACCTGATTTCCACAAACATTTAACTATAAGTCTTCATATACAAGTTATGACGGTTATGTTGAAGAAACTTATAATTTAAAAAATCGTATCTCAAAAACGAGATGAGGTATCATATTGAGCCAAAATTAATCTAGTTTCAATTATGTCATAATCAATTTCTTGTTTCCAGTATTTTTGTTGCTAGAATTTTTCAATCCAACTCTGTGACAATTATAAAAGTTATGTTAGTGATGATGGAATTTGAAAGATCGTTACTCATAAGCTGAATGAGATATTAAAATGAAATAAAAAGCATTTTATAACAAAATTCATCTAATTTTAGTGTGCCATAAACCATATCATAATTTCCATAAACCTGATTTCCACAAATTTTTAACTCTAAGTCATGACATAACATGTTCATGTACATGTCATGACGGTTATATTGAAGGAACGGATAATTTAAAAAATCGTATCTCAAAAACGAAATGAAATATCATAATCAGATAAAGAACATATTGAGCCAAATTTAATCTAGTTTTATTTGTGCCATAAATAGTTTCTTAATTCTCATTAACTTTCATGTTCTAATATTTTCAATTCAACTCAGCTTTTATAAAATTTAAAAGATCTTTACTCAAGATAGAGTTAACTCGAGATATCAAAATGAAATAAGAAGCATTTTAAACCAAAATTAATCAAATTTTAGTGTGCCATAAACAATCTCATTGGTGCCATAAACCTGATTGCCATG